GATGCTCCATCAAAGCAAGCATGGTGAATGGTAAATAATATCAGATCATCTTTAGTCAATAGATCATCACTATTCTGACTGAATGAATGATTTGATTGATCTTGACGAAGAATATGACAATTAATAACATGTCCTTTTGATAAATCGAATAAATCAGATTGACTTAAAATCTTCTTTACAATTTCATTCTGTTCATGTTCTTCATCAGAAAGATTAATTGTCCAAAATCTAAATGATTTCTTATCATTTATAATAACGTTTGTGTCTAAACAATGTTGTATAATAGTCCCATTAGTATCAAGATAGAGTGCTGTTCGAAGAATACTATGTTTTGTGATAACAGTTTGAAATGCATGTTGTAATCGTGAAATAGATATATAATCATTCATAGATGAAACTCGATAAATCAATGGAATAACGTACATATTATTTATCGTTGTTTTGTTGGATGAAAAACGAATTTGTTCATCTAAGTAGATTCGTTCCTGTGCAAACGATGCTCTAGCTAGAATGAGAAAAGGATACAAATATATAGTTGATCATAGTAGCAATTGCAAGTTGTGTTATTTACCTTGAATAAGATGTAAAGAAGACCAAGAATAATCATCGAGAGTATGGATGGTATCGATAGATTGCTGAATGAGTTGAGCATGATGAATAATTGTTGGATGTTGAAATAGATTTGAAATAGAAAGAGTGCTTGTTTCCAAATGAAATTGGGTCTTGTATCGATGAAATAGTTGCATGATAAGTAATGAATGACCACCAATAGTAAAGATATTTGTATCAGTTGAGATTTGATTTAGTTTGAGTATCTCACACCAAATATGATGAATACTAATTTCAATATCATTTGTTGGTAGTAATAGTTCTAGACTGTTTGTGAGATGTATAGATGAGAAGTGAGGTGAAGGAAGAAGTTTTCGATCTATTTTTCCATTTTGATTCAGAGGTAGTTTATTAAGTACAATAAATATTGATGGTATCATATGTGGTGGAAGATGAGATTGACAATGTTGACGTAGTTGTTCTTCATTGATATCAGATGATTGCACATAAGCAACTAGATGATCATCATTCCATTTAATGACAACACAAGCAGAGATGGATGATGTAGTGTTAAGTAAACATCGTTCAATCTCACCAAGTTCAATTCGTTGCCCATGAAGTTTGATCTGATGATCTTTTCTTCCTTGATAATGAAGAAGACCATTGTTATCCAT